GAGTTTGTGCCAATATCTCGAGTAGTTCGTCGTTGGACAAAAAGTAGAAACGGGGGAATACGGAGCGCTTGGATTCCAAGTATGCTTCCAAACATTTTTGAATTTGTTCCAGAAGTTGATTGTTATTTCGGAATGTGTCCAACAATCCTGGCTGTGTGGCGGCTCTCATTGCCAAAGGCACCTTTTGAACTTTGCGCATGACGTCCTTGTATGATTTGTCTACAGCCATAAAACTTTTAGCTTCGCTAGGCAGCTGTCTTTGAATATCTGGAGCTGAGAATATGCTCTCCAGGTACAACCAGCTTCTTTGACAAATGAGCCATTCTTCCTGTACAAGAATTGGACGAGATCGAGAGGGGTACGTCACACAACTTCTACTTGTACAGAAGATCCACAGGTGTACAGCAGTGGATATCAGACGATTCGCCATTCTAAACTAGAACCGAACAAAGAGAACACATACCAGGGTTTTTCCAAACAGGTCGAGCAACGCTGACCATTCTTCCACACGGCCCTTTATTGGGCCCACATGACGTGAAGAGGCGATGGTTGCAATGTTAATGATGGAATCATCGAACAGTTGTTGAATCTCATCCGTGCCACCAACAATGAATATGTCCTTGCTATCCTTGTAAGGTAATACAGTGAATTCCGTAGACTTCCAGGCGTCTTCAACCTGAATTAACAGAGTAAGCAGGATGCATTCGTCATGGAAGAAGTAGGCTACGCAAAAACTTTAAAGAAAAAAGAACGACCTCCACAACCTGACCCAATTAACACGTTTATAGGTTTCTAACTCCAAGTGGCACTTCAACTTATGGTTTCACGAAGGTTGTCCCACAGGTGTTGAAATCTTGGCAAAAAAACTACCAAGAGAGACGAACAGATACATAATGAAAGAAACACCATTTGAGCACACTGCACCAGTGTGAAATGCGTCCATGTGCTATCGGACATTGGCACTGGCCCCAGGTGGGCGTGTTGGTGCGTTGGTGAGCTGTTTATTTCGTAATCGTGAAGCACAAGAGGGACCGTGTGGCTGAGCTTTCGGTGTCCAATCCCATCTATCCTAATGGCGTACGATCAAACTCCCGACCCAGGGATTTCGCATTTCCTAAACTGTGATCAGCTAGGGAAACAACTCCGCCAGAGTAAAATTGACCGACCGAGTAAGTATGCGATTCGGTACACCAAGAAGTATCTTCTCGTATAACGTTTCACCAAAAAGTCATCTGGGAAACTACACAGAGTGTTTGAAGCTTGGTTGATAGCACGCAGTCGGTCTGCCTAGATTGTAACCTGTCTGATGCGTACCATATACAAACCCTGTGAAACTTCTATCCTTAAAGCAAACAGTACGTCTTGACATGCAGTTCATCTAAACATGGAGATATACAGTGAACTTTTTTCGAAAATTCACATAACAGAGTATCTGGCGGTGTACAATAAAGATATGAATAGGAAATGAAACTAGAAAGTGACTTGCAAGTGGCTAAACTAACCTATTGTGCTAGATCCAGATGGCCCTTGTACGTGCTTTCAACTCACAGGGAATGCACCAAAACACAAATCAAGGTTAAACCTCAGTGACCGAGAGAAAGTGAT